AAAAAAAAATTTCAGAAGGCAGACAATCTTGACATGCAAGATTGATCACTTCTGGCTTGTTTCATCTAAGATTTTAAAGACGAACTAGCAGAAGATGTATATAAGCAAAAAGTGAAGTTCTAGTGTTTGTTATAAACCAATCCAATCATACCATGTATGTCATGCCAACTTGAATGATGTTCATATGAGGTACGCTCAGATTTGCGGTTCCTGCCCTGCAGTTTCTCCTTAGGAATGCATAGAAGTAGTTTATAACCAGTTTCTTGAGAAAGAAAGAATTCTTTTTCGCCCTGACATCCCCGTGCCCAAGCAGATAGGTAAATCCCGATTCCATTGCTTCTCGAAGAGCTGAAAGCTCATACTCCAAACTTGGGTCCTCATCTACTGACGTCACACTAGATGGCAGTGCTGATGAACCATCTTCTGATACAGAAGTTCCTGCTTCATCAAATCTTGTGCCTTGCATTAATGGAATACGAAGCTCTTCATTGTTGTAACCATCCCGGTTACCAAACTCCCTTGAGCTCACTGAAACACTATCAAGATCCATCTCGTTTAGATTGCTCTCCAAGGCAAGGTCTTGAGCTTCATTTCTCAAGAAAATCTCGAGGCTTTGAACCAGAAGTTGCTCAAATGCATGGTGATCTTCCTTCCTGATATCTTTGTAGCCATAACGTGCAATGCAGCGAAACATATGGTAGTCTTTGGGGCAAACTCTTCGAAAAAGAAATCTCTCCTCTTGAGGGACAACAGGAACTGGGACATACTTGATGCATACAAAGACAATAGTAGAATGAATGGCAGGAAGGTCGAGTAGAAACTGCCCAAAAATTGAGGGAATGCCTTGGACAAGTTCATTGTATAACAAACCAATTCCTGGTACTCTAACTGTCCCGAGAGTGGAGCCAAGTTCAAGCAAGAAGTCCATGGATATCTTCTCCCTTACCTCACTCTGGTACTTCAGAACACTGCCATAGTTCCAAATATACATTGTTGTGAGAAAGATAGTAGCAAAAACAAGGGGAAGCCAACCTCCTTCTAGGACTTTTGTTAGAACAGCCGAAAAGTAGGTAAGCTCCACAGATCCAAAAACAAGCGGAAAACACAAAGCCAGAAACAAGTTTGTCTGCCATATTAGAAGCATTACAAGAGTCACCAAGGTGGTTGTAACCATCATGACACCTACTTCAGCTATACCTGAAAATGCAGTTTTTATAGGCATCAACAAACAAAATGCCTCAAGATTTACCTCGTAAATGATGAAAATTGAATTAGATTCAAAATAAAGTAGAGGAAATATAATGCCAATGAAAATTGTCAGCATTTGTCACTGATTGTACGAGGAATGAACTGAGAAGAAGAGGAATTGGAATTTGGAATTTAGAATATTTACTAACCATATGCATTGGCGATATCTGCAGTGCTTTGAAAGATGGAGACAACAACTATACACATTGTCATTAGAAACCAATTGATTACAGGGATGTAAATTTGACCCATCCGTCTCTTTGAGGTGTGAACTATCTTCAGTCTTGGGAAGCATCCAAGAGCCATTGACTGCTTGACACATGAAAAGGTAGCAGATATCATAGCTTGGCTGGCAATCATTGCAGCTAATGTGGCTAGCACAAAAACCGGCCAGAAAAGAACATCTGTTTGTTTAAAAGATGTAGGAAGTGAGGTCTCAAAATGATTTATAAAAAATAGAGAATTATTTAAGCAATAATCTTGAAACCACATAGAGAAAACTAGACTGACTATAGTCAGTCATATTGTTGGCAACTATTACCTGGCACAGAATCATAAAATATTCTTTCTGCGGAATTAGGGTATTTAATTAGGTATGCAGCTTGACCCATGTAGGCCAAAAGAAGACAGGGAAACACCACACAAGTGAAGGCAATCTGTGCAAGCAGTACAGGTTAATTGTAGGAGGTTTGATGGAAGGAGCTTCCACTAAGTCACCCTTCAAGTCAGCAATGATATGAAGAAGGAAGGCAAAAACTAACCTGTATGGCTCGCACGGAGAAATGTCCTAGATCAGCAAACATTGCTTCAGCCCCTGTTTTGACATATACAAACATGATGTGGCATTAAATGGTTTAACTTCTACATCTCATAGGGAAAAAAAAAAAATTCTCATTTTAACAGTAAAGAAAAGAACTCAAGCTTTGTACTGGGTTTTCCAAAAGAATAATCAAAGATTAATCAAAATGGACTGTGTTTCATGATGCTTGCCAGCAGGCTTCCACACTTCTTTATTAGCCTAGGGAATCATGAAAATCAAAAGAAAGCTACTCAATCAATCTCCACTAGTTGAGATTCAAAACACACCTCCTTTTCAATTTTCTGCTTGGTATAGGGGCATACCGTACCAGGGATGTGCAAATATCAAGTCTTTCCAAGCGCAACATCCAAACCCAGTATATATCCCATCTATTTACTAGACTTATAAACCAACTTCTCAGTTAGAATTACCACTTGGAGGAGGGGTTTTGACGAGGAAGAATTAAGGACAACTTTCCTATAGATGGCACTACAGAAAAACAATTTTCCAGTAGTTAAATTCCCTGACTACTGCAATTGCCAGTTAGCATATCAACTCACGCTAGTAAGTAAACAGTGAAGGTTCATATTGGTTGATGCAGTTAGGATGGGGCATTGTAGAAACAATAGAAATTAAATCTGTTCAAGTGTTAACTAAGATGTCAAGATGTATATAAGCTGGTATGGATTTTCGTGCTTCTCATGTAAAAGTAAGATGTACCTGTAATGCACAGAACACAACCCCCAAGAGCTGACCATGCATCTGTGCTGTTCTTCTTGAAGAAGAAATAGATATAAGCTGGGTTAAATGCCCTCACAACAGAAATATCATGCTTCACCATATTGTAGATTCCAATGGAACCCAGGGAGAAAAACCATAAAGCAATTAGAGGAGCAAACATAAAACTAACTTTCCCAGTTCCAAACTGCTGTATGCTAAACAATCCCACGAGCATTATGATTGCAATGGCAACCACCGCACCTACAAACAAAATAGTTAGACCAAAGAAAAGTAATTGGCAGTTCATGGACCAAAGGTGAACCAATTGGATTGTACATAAACAGAACCATGAGTTATCGGTTACAGCAGTTCACAAAATATAAAGCATGTTTGCAAAAAATTAAAATCAAGTGCTTAACAAATTATTCAAGCACTTAACAAATTATTCAAGCACTTAACAAATTATTCAAGCAGCCCACCCAACCTGCCCACCTCTAGTACTGCCTCTGAATTATTCACATTAATTTGCATTTCTTTTGCAACTTACCATGTGTGCCAGAGTGTCCTCCTTAAAAGGGAATGCCTCCATAACCATCAAAACTGATACCTCTTCCCCAATCCAAAAAAGAAGAAGAAGAAGAAAGAAAGAAAGAACGCTCCATCCAATGAATATAAGAACAGATTGCAAACATCTATTAAGTGCTCACTCATATTCCAAATATTGTCTGGAAGCAATAAATGTATTGGTGAGTGAAAGAAAATAAAATACCCACCTGTGCCAATTCCTGATATTTCACCCTGAAGTCCACTGACTGCGGACAT